ATGTCGCTTCCAGCCAACAATATGTCATCAACGTATAGAGAAAGAAACAAAATTCCTTCTTCACTTTTCTTGACATACACACAATGATCCTCATCAACCATGGTCAAACCAAATGCACAAATGGCTTCATGGAATTTGAGATACCATCGTCTGGAAGACTGCTTGAGACCATATATGGATCTTTTGAGGCGACAAACTTTATTGTCTTGCCCTTTTGGGACAAACCCAATAGGTTGATCCATATATATCTCTTCCTCAAGAGAACCATTGAGGAATGCTGTTTTTACGTCCATTTGAAATAATTCTAAATCCAAATGGGCAACCAGGGCCAGAAGAAGACGAATAGAGGCAAATCTCACCACAGGAGAAAATGTCTCATCGTAATCTATACCTTCAATTTGGGTAAAACCTTTCGCTACTAAACGAGCTTTGAACTTTTCTATTGATCCATCCACCCCACGCTTGATTTTGAATATCCACTTACATCCAATTGATCGACGATGAGGTGGAAGGTCAACAAGTTCCCAGACATTATTTTTAATCATTGAGTCCATCTCATCATTCATTGCATCTTTCCATTCTGAATTATATGGTGAATTCATTGCCTCTTTATAAGAGTTCGGTTCATCTACTTCTAAAGGAGTACAAAGAAATACATCCTCCTCAATTTGAAAAAATCGACGAGGAATTCTTCCACGATCACTCCTTCTCAAAGTAGGACCTTCACTATTTTCCAAACTAGCTGAAAAATTTCTCCCACTGTCCTCGAGAGGCATGGGGCTATGAGTATGATAACTTATCTCATGCTCTACTCTATGAGGCTCATCCTCATTTTGAGTTTGTTTTTCACTAGTGGAATTTAGAAGAACTTCATTATCTTTGGAGACCTGTTGAGGTAACATATCCCCCTCATCTCCTAAAGATACTTGCATTTCACCAATGGAATTTAGAAGAACTTCATTATCATTGGAGACCACTAGAGGTAACATATCCCCCTCATCTCCTAAAGATAATTGCATTTCTTGTTGTAACTCATACAACTGAAGGTCTTTCTTAATTTCACCAATACTTGGGAACTCATCCTCAAGAAAATCGACATTGCGTGAGTCCAACTCAGTCATGCCACCATCTGGATGTTCACCAAACATAACATACCCTTTTGAATGTTCAGGGTATCTAATGAACACCATTTTGGTAGCTCTTGGACCAAGCTTTCCATACTTGTGAGTTTGGTTATGCACATAGCCAGCCGAACCCCAAGGGCGTAAATGGTCCAAAATGGGTGGTTTCCCATTCCACAACTCATATGGAGTGAGTGACACACTTTTACTCGGTACACGATTAAGGATGTATGTTGCCGTAAGCAGCGCATCTCCCCAAAATTTAATAGGGAGATTGGCTTGCGCCATCATCGACCTAACCATGTCTAGTAATGTACGATTTCTTCTTTCAGCAACACCATTTTGTTGCGGAGTATATGGAACCGTAAGTTGCCTTGATATACCTTTAGTCTCACAAAACTCTTTGAACATATCAGAGAGGTATTCACGTCCCCTGTCAGTACGAAGAGTCTTAATTCTTCGTTCCTTTTGGTTTTCAACTTCGGCCACGAAACGTTTGAACGTATCAAGTGCTTCGTGTCGATGAGATAATAGGTACACATACCCAAAACGTGAATAGTCATCTATAAAGGTAATAAAATATGTAGCCCCATGACGAGCTTTTATATTTAAAGGCCCACAAATATCAGAATGAATCAGCTCTAAAGGATTTGATGCTCTTGATGCCTTACCAAAAGGCTTTTTAGTAGCTTTTCCGGCTAGACAAGGTTCGCATTTAGGCAATTTAATCTTAGTCAATTGTCCCAAATGTCCCTCTTTAGCTAGCCTGGACATTCTATCTTGACCAATATGACCAAGTCGTGCATGCCATTTAACAGATTCAGAATCAATATTATAAAATGAAGCAAAAGCATGTGATGAGTCATTATAACTTTCATCCAAGTCAAGAACAAAGAAACCATTCTTTAAAATACCACGTCCGAATAAATTGTCATGATATAAAATGTCCAAACCACCAGTATTGAAATTAAAGGAAAACCCAAGTTTTAACAAGGAAACAACTGAAAGTAAACAACTTCGCACCCCGGGTGCATAGAGAGTATCATGCAGGAGTAGTGTATTTCCACCATGGAGTTTAAGTTGGTATGTTCCAACCCCAAGGACATCTTCCTCGCTCCCATTCCCTAACATGACAGTTTGAGTGCCAATAGAAAACCGGTGGAATTCCACAAATCCTGATCTTTCATGAACTATGTGCTTGCTTGCTCCCGTATCTATAATCCAATTAGGAATAGAATTAGCAACTAATGCATGAGAACAAACATATAGTTCAAAAGAATTAGTGGTAGAAGGTACCTTTTTCGGCTCAGCACAATCACGAGCGAAATGACCTTTCTGTCCACAATTATAGCACTTCACACGCGCTATTTTCTTCTCCCTTTGGCCATGTGCCATAAGTTGTTTCTTTGAACCACCATTTGATCCAGAAGTTTGAGAAGGACGAGAAAATTTCTTGGCTCGTTTGCGCTTATTTCCCTTGGTTTGACCACCATGGGCAACAAATGCAACATTGGAAGGTGCTAACGTTCTCTGACGTTCTACTTCCATTTCAATATGTTTAGCGAGTTCTGAAAAAGTTTTTACATTCTCGCTATGAGCCATGAGAAGCTTGAAGTTCTTCCAATTCTCAGAATCATTTGGAAGTGAACGAACCACATTTAGAACTTTCTCCTCATCAGATACATCTCGTCCCGCAGCTTTTAGGTCACGTATCATGGCACTCATGACACGCAAATGTTCGGCAACAGAGTGCTTAGAATCCATATTGTAATCCATCCACTTTAAGTTCAAGGCACGGAGCCTAGTAGCCGAAGTTTGCCCGAAGGTGACCTTAAGCTTGTCTCACATGTCCTTAGCCGTGGGACAATTCTCAAACTCTCCAATAAGATCATTATGCATGCAATACAACATAGTATAGCGTGCAGACCGATCCTTTTTGGACCACGTTTGATAGGTTGCCAATTCTTCCTTGTACTGCGCACTAGCAGTATCATTTGGCTCAATCACAGTAGTGGACAAGGTTTCCAGAACCTCGCGTTCGTTAAGAAGATACTGAATCTTCCTATGCCAGATGTCGTAATTGGTACCATCTAGCTTTTCGTTGGAGGACAAATCTCCAATCATAGATTTAGTTGTCATCTACAAGTATATAAAATGGATATTAGGCATGAGGTCAATATAATTAAATTATCACTTTTATTTTTGTTTATGCCATGAGTTCGAAAATTTCGCCAAGCTCATAATCATCACAAATAACACAAACAAAAATAAATATAATTTAATTAATCTTATTCCAATGAAACATATTCATTTATCGATGTTATTGTTTAACAAATAAACACAAATATAAACATCACAAAGATATTTAAGTCTCATAACATGAATAACATATATTCATGTATCGTATTAAATAAATATAAACATCACAAAGATATTTAAGTTTCATAACATGAATAACATATATTCATGTATCATATTAAATAATTATTTAATTATTACTTAGATAATTTAAATAATAACATGAAGCTGACACAATATTACAAAAATATTGATTTATCTTTTCATCATAATAGCACATATTATGATAATTTTAAAAAGATTTTTTTTTTTTAAATGGTAAACAATAATACCATATAAATATTTGAAAACCATAATAATAACAAATATTATTATTAACCAAAGAATAATAATAATAATTTTTACTCTTTGTTCATATATTAATTAGGCCACAAAACCTAATTATTCCTCCATCTTAATTATTATTATTTTTTTATGTCATTTTCATGATCACAAATTCATGAATGACACTCATTCTATATTTAACACTTAGTTAAAAAAAAAGAATGAATTTTATGTAACAAATACATAAATATATTTGTTTATTAAAAAATACGTCGGAGGAATAAACGGGCTCTAATACCACTGTTAGTGGTTTTATATAACACATATATAAATAGATATAGGACTAACCTTATGTAGCGGAAGCGAAAACCTGTCCGTATTTTTTATCCGACGGCTACTAGAGTCGTCGGTATCCTCCACGCTCTAAAACCCGAGCTGCCTTGTGATGGTTTCGGCTCAACAAGAGAATATGCACTAAATAAAGACTTATAGTATTTGTGTTGCTTTTGTTCTTTTTTCTCCTCGTATTGTTCACTTTTCATGATGCACAAAGCATCAATATATAGTTGCCTTCATGGAACTCAAATTAAATGAAGACTTAAACACACTTCTCATAACTTCATACTTAATGGAGATGAGGTTGTAACACCACCACCTTTAAGTGGATGTTACTAATTAATTGATGCAACATAACATCAATTAAAAACAATAGAAAAAATATATAATTGCAGTAAAGAACGTGTGTAAATCATATTATAATGCATTACTAATTCATAATAAAATTCACCTCATTGTCTTACTAAATTAAAAGGGAATTAGTTAAGATAGATTTCATAGTTATAGAGATTTTTATTATTTAATCAATACACACTTATATGAGTATATATGTGCAGATTCATTAGTAAAAACTCAGTGGGGTCGATTTTTTTTCGAATTCATTACATACCTGAAGGTTTCAGATAAAAAAGTTGCAAACATTTTTTCATTTTAAATAAATAAAAAAACTTCAAAATTTTCTAGAGTCAAATTTTCTCCTCTTGCCTTATTCCCCACGACAAGATTTCATGCAATAAACAAATAAAATTAAAATTAAGTGCTACTTTGACAAATTAGATAAACAATACTAAGCTATTTGACCAAATGTTCACCAAATATCCTATAAAATCATGTATTACTATCAGCCTATAACCATGGTTTTCAGCAAGCTAGTTAATTCCTTCCAGAAAAGAACCTAATCAATACATATATTTCCACAAAATGGAGAACTATTACAACCTGCAAGCTCTAATGATCTGTTTGGCTTTTCTTGTTAGCTGCTTGTGTCTCAAAGTCTATCACTTCATCTGGTGGAGACCCAAAAGGCTCGAGAGTAGCTTAAACCAACAAGGAATTAGAGGCACACCATACAAGCCCTTGATGGGGGACATGAAAGAGTACATTAAGCTTGTAACTCGAGCATGGTCCAAACCGGTTAGTCTCTCCCATCACATCGTGCAAAGAGTGGATCCATTCACACACATGGTCGTTCAAAAATACGGTACGTTTTTGTATGTTTCAAAGTCACACTAGAAATGTCTAGATTCGTGTCCTCGATTGCGATTTATATCATTCTTCACTATAAGAAATTATCAAAATGCCAACAGAAATTTTTACGAGTGCAGGAAAAATATCGTTCTATTGGAGTGGGACACAACCGAGACTTACTATTATGGACCCAAAATTGATAAAAGAAGTGCTTACCAACAAATATGGGCACATTCAAAAGCCTACACTAAACTCCCTTATTCTCATACTCACTAAAGGACTCACAACACTGCAAGGTGAAGAATGGGCCGCGCGGCGGAGAATAATCGGCCCTGCTTTCCACTCGGACAAGATTAAGGTTTATTACAACGAACTATTTTTCACTATTACTCGCCTTTTGTTTAAGGATTGTCGATTATGTTCTGTCCTGAAACAGGGGATGATACCACTATTTGTGGAAAGCTCGGTTATTTTGATTGAGAAGTGGAAAAAATCGATGACTGAAGGAGAGAGTTTGGAAGTTGATGTGTGGCCCGATTTTCAGGAGTTAACGGGGGAGATTATTTCGAGGGCAGCATTCGGAAGTAACTATGAAGAAGGAAAGGAAATTTTCAAACTTCAGAAAGAGCTGCAAATGCTGGTCATCGAAACCATGCAAACCTTGTACATTCCAGGATTAAGGTACAATGTAAATGCATCTCACTTTATTCATTGTCACCTACACTTAAATAACTCAATCATATCAAATTGTTTCAGATTTATTCCCACAAAGAAAAACCGGAGGAGAAAGGAATTGGACCGTAAAATAACCTCGATGCTGAGGAAGTTGGTCGAGACCAAGGCAAAAGCTATGTCCGATAAAGGTTCAAACAACGACAACTTGCTAAGCCTGCTACTCAAATCGAACGATGAAAACAATCCACAAGGCCCTAATAACAGCAAACAACATACGAGATTGAGCATAGATGACATTGTTGAAGAATGCAAACAATTTTACCTAGCTGGCCACGAGACAACCTCGTCCTTGCTGACGTGGACTGTAGTCGTCTTAGCCATGCATCCCGACTGGCAGCAAAAGGCGAGAGACGAAGTTCTTCAGCTATGTGGGGATAAAGATCCTGATGCTGAAGCCATAAGCCACCTCAAAGTTGTGAGTTTTTTATTATTTTTATTTTTTATTTTTTTAATTTCAAGATCACCCATATGACTAATTGCTGCTGTAGGTGAACATGATCCTAAACGAGGTCTTGCGATTGTATCCACCGGTGATTGCATTATACCAACACGCGCACGAGAACACGAAAATCGGGAACTTTGCCATCCCAGCTGGCATAGATCTTCTACTCCCGATAATGCTCGTCAATCGAGACCCGGGCCTGTGGGGCCACGAAGCCGAGGAGTTCAAGCCCGAGAGGTTTGCCAGAGGCCAGCTGGCGGGGTTCATGCCGTTCGGGTGGGGCCCACGGACGTGTGTCGGGCAGAATTTTGCGATGGTGGAGGCTAAGGTTGCGCTGGCCGTGATGCTGAAGCAGTTCTCGTTCGAGGTGTCGGCATCGTACGCGCATGCGCCCTACACTGTGATGACGCCCCAGCCGCAGCATGGAGCTCAGATTGTACTGCGGGATTGCTTTAGTTAGTAGTTGGTTAGTTAGTTGTGGAAGAGATTTTTTCTTTTGGTTATGTACTTTGTTGAATTGAATTGCTTGCTATTTATGTAATGTAATAAATTAAAAGACTTTGTATTTGCCTGTTGACGAATGAATTAAGACTTGCGTCCTAAAATCTTACCGACCGGCCGGTATATTTGCTTCTACTTAACATTGTAGACCAGGTAGAGCTCTTGATACTCGAGTTCGGACTCTAACCCGTATTAAGTTGAGCTGAACTCGGCTCGTTGGATTGGGATTGGCGATTTGATAAACGAGCTTGGCTTCGTCATTTTAACAAGTCAGAAGGGTGCTACCCATAATAATATCCAACATATTTTCTGAGAAACCAAAATTTTCTACCCATAGTAATAATCCTCTTTTTTTTTTTTGGCCTACCCATAAATTTATCGTATTTATGTTTTAACCCCCGACAATTTTTTGAATCAGTGTGTATATATCCGGCAAGCCCGAAAATCCCAATCGGAGCACTCTACCCAGTTCATTCAGCTCTGTAGACATGCTTACATTTGAAATCCAGAACACTATTAGGGTTCTTCATATTTGATTCAATTGAGCTTCCGTTGTGAAGAAAGTTCAGAAATTTAGGATTAATTGATTGATTGAAGCCATGGCGTACGTGTTCATACCGGTGCAGAACTCAGAGGAGGAGGTCCGAGTGGCGCTTGATCAGCTCCCTCGCGACGCCACCGATATTCTCGACATCCTCAAGGCGGAGCAAGCTCCGCTCGATCTCTGGCTCATCATCGCCGTAAGCTTATGTGAAGGCATTTTTTTCTATTTGCCTCTGCGTATAATTTGTTGGGTGTGAACTGCAACAAGCATGTACTGGGTATTACAGTGGTCATGCTTTTGTGTGTGTATGTGTGTGTGAGTGTGTGGAGTTTGTCGAAGAATGTTTGTGATAGGATGTTTCGTGTATACTTTTCTACTTCACTAATTCATGTGCTTCTCGGTGGTAGTTTGGCGATCGGATGGTGCAAAGTTCTAAGTTGATTTGAATGAATTCCTTTTTTTGTTTGTTCGATAATGTTATTGTAGTACTCTCTGAATGAGACTGGTGAGTGGGATGGTTATAGATATTCAAATAGAGTTATGAGGTCAGGTGCACTCTTACAAATTGTACAGAGTTCTTCTGACAAGTCCAACTATTTGGCAAGCCTTTAGTGAAAGGCTTAGTTTAGAGTAAGCTTACAGGAGTTGCGGATTTTCAAAATTGTACACACTCTCATGAGAGGCCTGCCGGGGATGTGACTTTCTTGAGTTTTCTTTTTTAGCTATTACTATGATCCTGGAATAGATATCTGTGTTTATTATCTAGGGAATTATTGGTTTCAACACGTTTGAATTTTTAAGCAGGGCCTCTCCTTGTATGAAAAAAAAATTAGTCTCCTATTAAAATATCACTCTTAATCTTCAATTCTTCATGGTGTGCTCCCATGGTGTGGATGTGTCCATTCTGCTGAGTTATTGGGCGTATTGTGCTCAACCTACTGGATCAATAGTGGTCAAGAATGGTGAGGAACTGTTTGTAAGAGATAGTGAGTCCTACGAAGGATAGAGGCAGGCAAACCTTGTCATTGCTGATAGGCAGCGTAGCACGCAAGCCAGGAAGTCAGAGCCCCCTGCCCAAGTTTTAGTGCAAATGCCTTAACCTGGATACTGGGGTAAGCACTCACCTCAAGTGAGGTGTTACCTAAATAGAGTCTGAGGTTTGATCCTATCACAACCCTACTTCTCCAATTTGTAAAAGGATTTTAGTTAAAAAGTAGAAAAAACTGGATATTGGGGTAATGGTGCCCAACCAGCAGTGTGTGCTTGCCCAACTTCAACCAAGACTCTGCATTCGCTAATTTGGAAGAGATTTATTTGGTCTAATCATCTTGAATTATGAATTCATGCCTTGACTTGATTAAGTTCTGTGTCGAGCGAACAAAACGAATGAGAGTGTACTGCATTAGAGGCTATCAAAGTACATGACCATTTCTGTAGTTGCATCTCTAGCCAAGGTGTCATATATCACCAGAATGTCTACCTGGGCATTCTTGTTTCTTTGAGATGTTGCCAATTGCTAGCCTGGTCAGCACTTATATGCTCAACCAGTAATCATTGTAGTGTCTTATATACTAGCATATCAAGACCCAGGTCTTTGTCTACATAAGTCCACCAACAACAAAAACAACAAAAGAGAAGAAATAGGAAAATGAGAGGGAGAGAGGAGCCCTAGGTCAAGAATATTGTTGTGTTTCAATTGGCGGGTTTTATGTTTATGTTTATATACGTTATGCGTGTACATTTCACTTTTGTATGGTCCTGGCACACATTTAAGATCTGGTTATGCAGGTCCGATAAATCATCATCAAATATTTATTAAATTAATTGCCTGGGCCAGATGTTAGAACCCACTTGGAAATTACAAGTGGAATAGGACTTGGACTTTGTTACCGCCAAATCTTATTTTGTGCAAAAGATGTGGTGTACGAGATATATTCATGATCTGATTTTATTTATCTTGTTCAATTCAATTTATTTTACTGACCGATAGCTATTATAAGACGTTTGTCACTTTTGGTTATTATATTTTCTAGAGTGTCCACCTTTTGTGCATGGTGGCAACCAGGGAAGCATTTAAGAGTTGTTCGAATATTCTTGTGCCAAGTGTTACTGTGCTCTGATATACAAATGTGGGTCGATATAGATGCATGTTGGATTTGTGTCACTCTCTAAATTTGGATTTTGCGTATTTGGGTGCAGAGGGAGTACTTCAAACAAGGGAAAATTGAACAATTTCGACAGATATTAGAGGAAGGATCCAGTCCTGGTGAAATATTTTCTCTATAGTCAATTTTTCAGATTTTAGTTTATAAAAACAAAATTGATTGGGTCTGACATCTGTGATTGTGACTTAATATTTATAAATAATGTAACTTGACTCATGGTGAAGTCTCATTGTTTTTGCAGAAATTGATGAATATTATGCAGATGTACGTTATGAGAGGATCGCGATTTTAAATGCTTTGGGCGCATATTACAGTTACCTTGGGAAAATTGAGACTAGACAAAGAGAAAAGGAAGATTACTTTGTACAGGCTACGAAGTATTATAACAAGGCATCAAGAATTGACATGCATGAGCCTTCAACTTGGATTGGGAAAGGTAATATTGTCTCTGGATTGACGAAGTTTCTGTTACCAACTCTAGTGAGATGGCAATATTCCAGATTCTTCATAAATAAGTCAAGTAAAGTTAGGTAAATGACTCCAGATCTGCCAATCTTGTTCTCAGGGGCATAATTTGGGAACTTTGGAAATAATTTACAATGTTTTCCCTTTCAAACTGTCATGTTGTTTCCCCTCTCATGTTCTTCATCCATTGATAGAAAAGAGTTATTCATGTTATTTACTGCTCTTGGTGTGCTTCAGTGGTATATTTCACTTACCACGTTTCTTTGGAAATGGGACCATGGGAAACGAAAATGAGTTGACATCTTGAGGTTTGCAAGTTTTGAGTCCGTGTAAGATCATATCTTTCTACTCTTGAATGAGATGTTAAAGTTTCATCTTGTTGAATTATGTTCCTATCTTCATCGTGGGTTGGGAGGATGGCAAGTACGCAAATGAATCCCTTTGCGTGGGAGGTAGTGCCAGGGTGAGAGGGACAGAATACGCAAACATTTTGATATGTTAGGGTAATATGGACAGTTGTCTATGTAACTTGCTAATGGGGGAGGAAACATGATTCACATTAACAGTATCAAATTATTATTGAATCTCGAGGACCGATTACAGGATTACTAATGAAGAAATGGTATAAATGCAATCCAGCCATCTTCCAAGCAATATAATTTACTTAGCTCTAATTAACTGCCACAGCCTTTTGCCTTTTGTCTCTTCATCCTTTTGTGCCACTGACCAAGTCGTTTTTTTGGTGCTCATTATGTTCTCTCTACTTGCAGGTCAGCTTTTACTGGCCAAGGGAGACCTTGAGCAGGCATTTAATGCATTCAAGATTGTATTAGATGGAGACCGTGATAATGTGTCTGCTCTTCTTGGTCAGGTCGAAAAACTATGATTTCCTTTTAAGACTAGTCCTGGTTCGATGTTTACAACTTATACACCCCTTTTGCTTACTTTCAATATAATTAGGATCCAACTTTTTTCTCAGTATTATCAATATAATTAAATAATGAAAACCAATCATTACTACACATTTTTCAACAAAATTCACTATTCACCCACTCACATATTTTTAACTGCCAACTATTTACAATTGTTAGAACTTATGTTTGTCCCGCTTCGATTAGTTAAGGGTTGTATCGTGTATAGCTGTGGGTTGAACACCCTCTCTCTTTGAGCTAGCTTTTAGGGATGAGTTCTACCGAAGCCCATTTATCATAGTATCAGAGCACTCATGTTTTGTTTATTTGGAGGCGATGTTGGGTTTGGACCCGGCCCATTTGGTCTGGCATGCTGTACGTGAGAGCGGGTGTTAGAAGTTATGTTTGTCCCACATTGATTAGTTATGGGCTGGTATTGTGTATAAGTGTGGGTTGGGCTCTCTCTCCTTTCAGCTAGCTTTTGGGGATGAGTTCTACCCATGCCCATTTATCAACAATCATTATTTTGCTATTTACTTTCAAATCAACTTTAGTCATTACATTTTATCTCATATCCATTTACAAACTCCAAATTAGTCCATTCTTCCACCAAATCAAATTTTTCCACTCTCTAACTCACTTTATCCAATTAATCAAAATAAACCCAAAAAAATCTATATCCAATCGCACCCTAAAAGCTGTTTATGAAGTAACTCTGTTGCCTTTTCTGGTATCTTTGTCTTACATCTAGGATGAATGCGAATAATATGACATAGCACCATGAGCTCATTGATTGCCAGCATTGGACAAGTGGACCTTATAATTCTTAATAATTTATGTTGTGTACAGGCATGCGTCCACTTTAACCGAAGCCGATATCCCGAGTCTTTGGAGTTATACAAGGTTTGGTTGTTCGACTTGATCGTACTTGTAGTTGGATGCTTTAACGAATTTTTGGAATACTTACATTTCGCATGTTCTCTGTGATTGTGTTGTTTTTCTTAGAGAGCATTGCAAGTGTGTCCTTGGGCTCCATCTGTAAGACTTGGTATAGCTCTTTGCCAGTATAAATTAGGTCGTCCTGAGAAGGCAAAACAAGCATTTCATCGGGTTTTGCAGGCAAGCACACTGATAACACAGTCGTGCATTGACTGTGTTGATTTTTTTTTTTTTATTTATTTTTTTGTACTTCTCAAGCTTATCTTTCATAAAATAGTATTTGGTGACTTTTTAACTGCAGTTAGATCCAGAAAATGTTGAAGCTCTCGTAGCTCTCGGAATATGTGATCTGCAAACTAATGATGGTTAGTTTTGTACTTCCATTTCTCGTTATATGGATTCTGACCTGCATTACTCTTGGGACATTTTACAAAATGAAGTTGCTTCTTTTAGTTATTGGGCCATTAGATGTGTTGAGCCCTTGCAGTTGTGGCTCATGAGTGAATCATTAAGGCTCAAGTTGTTAGACAAGGACCAGTGCCCAAGGACTCTGGTTGTTTAGCATTGTAACTTTTTTGTTGGTTTGGTTTCTTAAACAGTTACTTTATTATTTTTTATTTTTGGAATATCATATTTGAGAAAATATGAGTATTTTAGGGGAATATCTAGGAATTGAAAACCTAATTTCTTTGTTGCACGATTCCTTTACATAGAATGTGAGGCTAGAGATTTGCTAGAAATATAACTCCTCAATGTTATGTCCTTCACATTCTGTTTTTCTGTTATTCATCTCTCTGTCAGATATTTGTTTCTTCTTGAATTTCTATTTTGCGTATATGTACATTTTTTACGATACGTAATACACAGCTATATGCTGATTCTCTATTCTTGGATGTTTAATATAATTTATAGTAGCAACTTATCCACACATGGCCCAGTGGATCTTTTGTATTATATATAAGCATTGCGATACATATGTCAATATCTTTGGCAAATTGCATCTCTGTCAAGCGGACCTGTGTTAATTTATTCTTATTTCTTTATACTTGCTATTCCCAAGATTACTTGGTATCAGTTTGATTGAGGAAACTTGACTATGAGTTTTGTTCAGGTTGTATTACAGTTGTAAAATTACTAACATCTCATGTTAAATATTTGCAGCTACGGGTATTCGAAATGGGATGGAGAATATGCAGAAAGCCTTCGAGATTTATCCTTACTGTGCTATGTCATTGAATTATCTTGCAAATCATTTCTTCTTCACTGGCCAGCATTTCCTAGTTGAGCAATTGACTGAAACTGCACTTGCTGTAACTATGCATGGCCCAACAAAAGCACATTCTTACTACAATTTGGCCCGCTCGTATCACAGCAAGGTTGATTACCGCAATGCCTCTTAACCTAATCCCTTTATACTTCTGTAATCTGTATTATCTGTGCCTGTGTGTTAATTTTTGCCTTGCAGCCTTTTGTGTATCTCTCTTTCTCTTCCAAGAGATTAATGATTTCTCATGTTGGGAACAATTTCTTATTAAACTTTTTCATGCCTATAAAAGTTTGTCATTTTCGTTTGTTCTAATCATTTGCCTTGTATTTTTCATCTCAGGGGGACTATGAGAAAGCAGGAATGTATTATATGGCATCTGTTAAAGAAAGCAGTAATGCACATGAATTTGTATTACCATATTATGGTATGTAGATTGTTCTACTTTAGTTTTATTGTACTTTGTTATCTGTCAAAGAAATGCATACAGAAAAAAATGATCAACTTGTCATCATTATAGGGATGGCCATTTTTCGTTGATTCACTGCTTGTTTAGGTAATGAAAAGTAAATATTTTCCTGAAATCGCTAATATAATAAGATTTATTTTTCTGCTGTAAGTTGGTCTGTTGGTCTGTTGATGTTATTACTTTCATTCCAATTGGTAAGAAACTATTATGGCATGATTGGTAAGAAGGAATGACATGGGAATGAAATGATCATTCCCTTACTCATTCCTTATCCCATGATTAGTATATTTTTTGGAAAGGAATGGCCATTCTAATGGGAATGGCAAAACTCATTTCCATGGGATTACCCATTCTTATAGTAAATGGAAGGTTTTCTCATTCCCATGTGTGTAGTAGGAATCAATTTTTCAAAAAATGAAATTAACAAATAATAATAAAAAATAAATATATAATATAATATATATTATAGATCATGATTAAAATATATTAAATAAATTTTTTTAAAAAAATAAAATTCAAATAAAAAAATTGAAAACTTACTTTTATTATTTTTTAATTCGATATATTAAATACTTATATAAAAATAACACTAAAAAAGCATTTATATATAATTTAAAAATATATTATTTTATTTTTATATATTATTAAAAATATAATATTTTTTATATATTAAAAATATATTACTTTTAAAGATATATTATTGAAAAAATATTAAAAGTATATATTATTAAAAATATATTACTTTTTATTTTTAAATATTATTAAAAATATATTATTTTAAAAAATAAAATTCAAATAAAAAATTGAAAAAATACTTTTATTTAATGTTTAACTAAAAAATAAAATATATATTATTAAAAATATATTACTTTTTATTTTTATATATTATTAAAAATATTTAATTTTTTATATTATTAAAAATATATTACTTTTAGGAATATATTATTTTTTATATATAATTTAAAAATATATTATTTTATTTTTATATATTATTAAAAATATATTATTTTTATATAATTTAAAAATATATTATTCATTTTTATATATTATTAAAAAAGCATTTATATATAATTTATTAAAAGTATATTAATTTAATAAAAAAAGCTTTTATTTATTTTTGTATGAATGGTGTAGGTCTTCTTTGGTTGCAATTATATATGTATAATTGCATATATATGTCTGTGTATCCTTTGTGTTAGTTGATTGAGTTTATCTTCTTGCTCGAACTAGGTTTAGGACAGGTCCAACTGAAACTGGGAGACATGCGAAGTGCTTTAGCTAATTTTGAAAAAGTCTTGGAGGTTCAACCAGAAAATTGTGACACACTGAAAGTGAGTTAATAATTGAATTCAGGTGTTGGAGTTTTGGTCATTGTCTCCATCCTATAGCTTGTTGACTGAGCGATTTCCAATTTAGTTATTGAGAGCTAACTGCATTTAATTTTTGGAAGCAGGCTATTGGACACATATATATTCAGCTTGAGCAGAGCGAGAAGGCTCAAGAAGTATTTAGGAAAGCCACCAAAATTGATCCTCGAGATCCTCAGGTCGCCATTTTGTTTCACTTTTATCATTACCGTTTGATGCTTTTGTAGGAGCTTAATTGTCCCTATTGGGGGCATCATTGCAGAATAATGAGGTCATAATAAATTTGGCAACTTATGCAGCTGCATTTGTCATGAGCTTGAAGAAAAAAGAAAAATGAAGAAGCTTATGAAGTGATTTTATAAGTAGATTCAAAATATCACCGACTTGGTTCAAATTTCAAAATAAATTAATTTGTCAATATGCCAGCATAGCGAATTTATAGTTCTGAATCTTATAATGCATGATCTCAAACAAAATATTGTTAAGTACAAGGAAAATAAATGATGTTCTTTAACTTTTTAAGTTCTGTGTGATTGTCTTGGTGTTGTGATGATGGGGCTGTTTAACTCTAAAATGAAGTTGGTCAAGTTTTTACTGCAGTGTATATCATGATGTGGGAGTAAATTTATAGTGGATCCAACATCATATCATCATTTGTCGAAGTTTTATCACAATTTATAGAGTAACAAAAGGTAAACAATCATTAGTAGAGTTAATAAGCTTCAATGATAAAGGCACCACATCATAAATGCTGTATGTTATTGGATTCTCCACCAATTTTTCAATGTCACGAGTGAAACATACTCTGGGCCATGGGGATGATGCACCTTTTTGGTTTGGTACACTCAAGTGCATTTAGGTGCTGGAATCCTTCTTAAGAATGTCAAGGTGCATACATTGATAGTATGTCGTAGGTTGAGTTTACAGTCTTCCGGAGACTCTTCTCTGCAGTCCAATACTAATAGCAGCTTCCATAAGCATGCTGATCGAAATTCAACAAATGTCATATTACTGTCTCTTTGAAAATTAAATAAATGTCATAATATAATTTGGATTGCAAAACTTGTTATTTTTGTTATTATAATATTTTATGAACCACTTGAGGAAATCAAAAAGGTAAGTAGGTTGGCTCAGATCCTTGCTACTGATTCATAGTGATGGTGTGAGGGCAGGATGAGCACGTGATATGAAAGTAGTTGACAATGCTTGAGTTTGGTTTATTTATCTTCTTGAGCTTCATTAAATGAGATCAACTGAGCTCTTACTGAGTTGAGGTTGAATAGCTTACCAGTGGCTTGGCTCATTTGCAGCCATATGGCCCTTTGTTATATTATAAGCCTGGACTTGCTAACATGGATCATATTGTAGTCAATATAATGATGTTCATTAGCTTAAAAATATTACTTCTATTTGGACAATCTATTTTCTTCTTACGTCATCTTATCCATCTTAGTATGATTTTGTTCTTAAAAAGTTCTCTTCAATGATTACATTCCTACAATCTTATATTTTCTTTCTCGACATTTATATTTACAGGCTTTCTTGGATCTTGGTGATCTGTTGATCTCAACAGACATTAATGCTGCGTTAGAGGCCTTCAAAACTGTAAGTCCCTTGCAAGTTTAGTATTAGTGTCCTGTCTCCATTTCCTCAAGTATTCACTTTTTCATATATGAGTAGAAGATGTCTGTATGCCTGGGGATATGACATTTCTTACTAATAATGGCGTAATCATTATTCTAATTTTTTTCATACATTCTTGTTTTGTGTAGTTTTTTTGTTGTGCCTGGTCATATTTTTCTCTATTGATCCTTTTTTAAAATGATTCTGTATCTTCTTTTCAAAACACGGCAAGCTTTTTCTTGATGAGAATATTAGGAAACCTATTTTATTCTAGCAGCCAGCTGTGATGTCTACACAGGACAAATATGTACTGGGTGGATGATGGTTCAGCTAATTTTTTTGGATGCTACTAGCTGTTATCTTGCTGCATTAAGTCGTGCACCCCATTTAGATTGGGTCTTACAATTCAGCGATTATGTTTGTTTTTTGCAGGCTCGTAATTTGCTGAAAAGAGGGAATGAGGAAGTACCCCTGGAGCTGCTTAATAATATTGGTGCTCTCCATTTCGAACGGGGAGAGTTTGAGGTTTAAATAGATTCTTTAGATGCTCTTTCTGTAGGATACATCCTGGTGGCTGAAATAGTTTCCAACTTTTTATTATTTTTGTATGTTGATGCTGTGATGTCATGTGTATTCCAGCTTGCTGGCGAGGCCTTTAAGGAAGCTTTAGGAGAAGGCATATGGTGTAGTGTTTCTGAAGCTGAAGGAGAATCCTTAGGGAGCACTAGCTCTAGTCATAGAAATCTAGCTAATCTAATTAATGATGCACTGTATCCTGTTGATGCCAGCTTGAACATCAGTCAATATAAGGACTTTCAAGTGTTTCATCACCTTGAGGAGCAGGGCATTTCTTTGGAGCTTCCTTGGAATAAAGTTACATCATTATTTAATTTAGCTCGGGTGCTGGAGCAGATTCACAGCACTGAAAGAGCCAGCATCCTCTACCGCCTGATATTGTTTAAGGTACAAATACTTCTATTTTCACTGTAGTTAGTAGTTGCTGTGGGTGGTAAAGGTGACTGTTCCATTTTTTTTGGTAATTGTATCTTGATACAAGCACGAAAACTTTGTGATCCTTGTATGTATTTATGGCAACATGATAACATGAGTGGCTCTGTATCTTAACTTTGTTCTTCAAATTGATGAGTGCATAAAAAAGGAGGTTTTGGTCTAGTTGCAAACTGTTGTTCCAACCAGTGGAGTGATATTTTGCATAACAAACACCCAAGACGAATTACATATACCCCCTTGAATACTGCAAATTCCTCTTGGTTGTTTGTTTTGTGAATATCACTCTACTGGTTGGAATTCTGCTCATGGTTTGTAGCGAAGTTCTTTAAATGATAGCATAATCTACTTTGGGGTCATCAAAATAGTAGTCAGTGCATGATAAGGTTTGGAGGTTCTCTCAATGTCAGATACATTTCTGAAGAATGATGCTTTAGGATCCATCCAGAGTGTTTTTATCTTGCTTATGCTTGAACTTATTCCACACAAAATTTTCTGACGTTTTGTCAATTTCAGTATCCAGACTACACTGATGCTTATTTGAGACTGGCTGCCATCGCAAAAGCTCTAAACAATGTCCAGATTAGCCTCGAACTGGTTGCTACATCTCTTTGGACAGCTTCTCTCATATTCTTATATCTGAATTTTTGTTTTTGCCCATTATATCTTTTTTTCTTCTTGTTTTTTGGTCATAGATTGCTGATGCGCTAAAGGTGGATGAGAAGTGCCCAGATGCTTTGTTAATGCTTGGTGACTTGGAACTTAAGAATGATGACTGGGTCAAGGCGAAAGAAACTTTCCGGACAGCGAAGGACTGCACTGATGCAAAAGATAATTATGCTTCCGTTTGCTTGGTACATGGTTTTTTCAGATAGTTCTTGGATTATTTATTATTTTTCATGGTTGCAACAGCTCTGAAAGTTATAGTGATAACAATGGTGCTACGCGGTAAAGGCAGTTTGCTGTTCCCTGCCTTTTTTCCACTTTTCATGCTTTGCAATTGCAGGAAACTCAAATCCTATCATTCTATCAGGGCTATTCGTAGTCGAGTTTGCCCTTGCCATTATTTGTAGTATTAATGTCACTTTGGAATTTCAATATCTCATGCACTTTTTATTGATGACGACCAGGGAAATTGGAACTACTTTGCAGCCAATCGCAATGAGAAAAGAGCTCCCAAGTTGGAAGCTACACATTATGAGAAGGCTAAGGAACTATATACTAAGGTATGCGATCTACCTTTTTGTTATAGAAGCCACTCTATACACTTCAACATTTACTTCCATCAGTTCTGAACCTTCTAGGTTGAGAATATCATTTGCTAACTGTCAATATGCTTTATCTATTGAGCTGAAACTTTGTATTGCTTTCACAAGTGGTGTTCTGGCTTTGTGCTTTTCTTTTGCTATTTACATATGGACTTCGGTCTATACGCAGGACCAAACTCTTTTTGACATGTATATGTTTTGTCCTACCAGGTTCTGCTCCAGCAGTCTGCTAACCTTTATGCAGCTAATGGTGCTGGTATGGTATTTGCAGAAAAGGGTCAATTTGATATAGCCAAGGATCTTTTCACTCAGGTTTGCAGGTTTTGCTCTAAATTGTATGACCATAGATAGATCTATACTTGTTAAACTGACCCTCTTCGCTTTTTCTTCAGGTTCAAGAAGCTGCAAGTGGAAGTATTAATGTCCAAATGCCAGATGTGTGGATTAACTTGGCCCATGTTCACTTTGCTCAAGGCAATTTCACTTTAGCTGTAAAAATGGTCAGTCCAGAAGTTCCATCACTAATTTGTTCTTATCATGATATAACCTGTCCTGATAATATGCACCCTTATGAACTTCATGATCATCTTTGCAGTACCAAAACTGTCTGCGTAAGTTCTATAACAATACCGACAGTCAAGTGCTTCTCTACTTGGCACGTACGCATTATGAAGCTGAACAGTGGCAAGACTGTAAAAAGACCCTGCTAAGAGCTATCCACTTGGCTCCTTCAAACTATACATTAAGATTTGATGCTGGAGTTACCCTACAGAAGTTCTCGGCATCAACACTTCAAAAAACAAAAAGGACAGTGGATGAGGTCATCATCTTTTCGCTTATTCAATTTCAGTATTGGGTTACAGAACTTTTATGTAGTTTTTATCTTGAGAATTCCTGCATTTAAGCCGCTTACTGCCTCCCCAACCCCAACTAATACAATTTGAGTTGAGGGCTTGGTTTGCCTGAGTATTTCCTGGGACCTAATTGTAAGAGTAAATAACCATGATAAAAGAGACAAAATATTGATCAGGTTCACATGTTTTTCTGTTTTTTAGATACCTTGGAATTACCAAAATTATGCCATTGGTGTTAAAAATAACTTAGACATAATTGATTATCACAAGGCCACATGACTTTTGTTCTCACATTTGTGAAACCATTTTACTTTGTGTGGCAATCCTAATGTTTCGTTTTGGTTTATGCATGTTCTCACATTTGTGAAACCATTTTCTTTTGTGGAGCAATCCTAATGTTCTTTTTGTTTTGGGTTATCATTTCAATCTCTGTTTTTCTCTCTTTTTTATTTTTATTTTTTGAATTTTTTTCCTAAATCTTGTCCATATGAAGTCATTTAGTCTGCAAGAAAATGTTGAGTAGTGAACATCTATGCACTAGGTCAAGCCTATTTATCAATTAAAATACTACTCAATGGAGTTTTTGGGGGATCTGCATGATGGCTAAACTGCCTACTGTACTTTTCATGTTCGGAAGTAAAGGTTTGAGTGTCAGGGCACACATTATTGTCATTGCTGAAGGTTTGTAGTTCCATTTATATTACCAATTGATCTATTCTCCCCCATGTTGCCTTCATTTCTGATGACCGAATTTTGTTTAGATTGCAAAACTTTTGAGCATTCATGCAATTGTAGTGGATCTAAGATTAGGTTCCGATTTGATGACTTCGTTGCTCGTAAATTTCAGCAGAAGCTTTGGAACAATTTATTCCTGTCAAAAGATATTTACCTAATTTTCATTGTGCAACTCGTGAAGGATCTCTCTCTCTCTCTCTTTCTCTCTCTCTCTCTCTCTCTCTCACTCATTCACTCACATATGGATTTAATGTGATAGGTTCGAGCTACTGTGGCAGAGCTGAAAAATGCTGTTCGTTTGTTCGGCCTGCTTTCTGCAGCTTCAAACCTTCACTTTCATGGGTTTGATGAGAAGAAAATTGAAACCCACGTTGCTTACTGCAAGCATTTGCTTGAAGCAGCCACTGTCCACTGTGAGCTTGCCGAGCGTGAAGAGTTGCAGAATATGCAGAGATTGGAAGTCTTGCGCCAGATGGAGTTGGCGGATGAAACCCGCAGAAAGGCTGAGGAGCAGAGAAAAGCTCAGGTGATCAGTGACTGCTATTAATTTGATATCTTAAAAGTATTTATACTGTCTTTATTTACTCAAAATTTGTGTTGAAATCAGATGGAGAAAAGAAAGCAGGAGGATGAATTGAAGCAAGTCATGCAACAAGAGAGGCATTTGGAGCGCATCAAGGTAATGGTTTTATCTAGCTTTTATCTGGTCGGTATTAATTTTTTTATTTGGAATATTATGCTACTTTTCGAAAACTTTTTTCTTCAAGAAAGGAATCTCACACAAATTTTACCTTGTTGAAAGTGCCATTACTTCTTCAACTCGTGGGTTTTATGCTATCCAGTATCCACCTAGGACATGTTCTTATATTCAAAATTCAATATTTTTGTGATTTCCTGTCATGTTGTAAATCGTATCCAGAAAGCTTGATTGAGCTGTATGTGGTTTAGGAACAATGGAAGAGCAGCTCGGGCTCGAAGCGCAGGGACAAACCCCAGAATGATGACGATGAGGGTGGACACAGTGAAAAGAGGAGGAGAAAAGGGGGAAAGCGTAAGAGGAAGGACAAGAAACAGCGGTATGAATCTGACGGTGGTGATGCTGAGGTGGAGGATCACGAGGAGATGGAGTTTGAAGAACATTACAATCGTACAAATGAGGGTGATGACAGAGAGGGTCCTTCCCATGATGTTCTTGCAGCCGCCGGACTCGAGGATTCTGATGCTGAGGATTTTATTGCAGCTGCTGGCCTTGAAGACTCTGATGCCGAGGATAACAATGTAATTCTCTCTCTCTCTTTCTCTCTCTCTGATGCAGAATAATAATAATAATAATAATTATTATTATTATTATTATTATTATTATTAAATAATTTCTAACTTCCCTACATCAAGATATCTTACTAATATTAAATAATTTCTAACTTCCCTACATCTCTCTCTCTCTCTCTCAAAATGTTGGAAAAAGCTTTATTTTTTTGAACTTATTTTGCTGCCTTTTCCTTTTCTCATTTCTAATAGTCTCGTTTTCTCTCATGGGTTGTTGGTGAAGGCTGCTGCCTCGAATGCGAATAAACGGAGACGGGCTTGGTCGGAATCGGACGAAGATGATGAGGTGGCGGAGAGGCAGCCCGAGCCCAATCCAGAGGAAGAGGCCCAGCCCGAGCCCAACCATGATGCTGATATGCAGGAGAGTGATGGAGGTGGAGCGCCTGATGATGAAGAATGAAGCTGGCAGCTCTAAAGACTTTGTTCACAAACCATTGGTGGGTTGCTAAGGTGCTTAGAGCTCGCATAGGCTTTTAGCCTTACTGGTGAGAAAAGCTAAAACATAGATTTTGTGCTAAGCTTTTGTGTGATGTCAGATTTTGTTGTAGTTGGACTTGAAAGAATGAAACTTCTTTATTAACTCAAGTGTGCTGCGTTCAGAATCAAACGACTAGACAGTCCTGTTATTTTTAACTGTAGACATAGGAAAATTATAGAAAATTAACCCCATGGGTCCCACCACATTGCCACCCTTAATTTTTTGCTTTAAAACTAGTGTATACATGAAAGAAAGACATTTGAAGTCGGTCCACAAAGTGGTGCAATTATGTTCTCTCATAAAACTTCAAGAACTTAAAATTAAAGGGTTTAATATCAGGTCACTATAGAAAACAATAGAGCTGCGAGACAGGGTGGATGTGTATTCGTTTTAGATTTTAAGAAATATTTTGAGATTTTAAGACTTGAAAGGAATCTTTGGAAACCTCAAGTGTAAAGGCGGTATGTGGGATGATATTTTGTATAAAATTGTTGTTTATGAAAATTCAGCAAGTAAAATTTTTGAGTGAGAGCGGTTGGAAAGTTGTTCAAGCACAATCAATCCGAATCGAGTGTTATACGCGTCAATTGTTCTGTTAATTATTTTAAAATTGTACCTAAAATGATGAGCAAGTAGATGTTTTATTAAAATATTAATTTACATGTTGACTCATTGGATCTAGACTATTGAGTGATTTATTTAAAAAAAAAAATTGAAAAATAAGTGGACAAAAACAAAAAAAAAAAAAAA